GAAAAAGACTAGCAATGTATACCAAGGCTTCTCTCAAAACCAGTAACCAGAAAATTGAACATATTTGGAAAACCCAACAAGATCAAAGGTATGGCTGTTGGTTCTTTCACTGACACAGTATTTTTATCATTTCATAGTATTCATTAATGTAAATTATTTAAAAATGCTATATTTATTGGAGTCTCCAGTAAAAAATATATTTGGCTTGATTTTTCTCTACGTTCTTTAGTCCTATAGCTTCACTCTCATAGACTTGAAATACATTTCCTAGAAATCAATAAAGATTACCTTTATCAATCCTTTTTAAATAAAAGTTGAGGTTTCTTTGCTCTAAAGGTAATTTCTATGTTATAGAAATATACTAGCTAAATAAAAAGTAAATGTCATATAAACCACTAATCTTGTGATGTCAACTGTTTAACAGTGTAGAAAAAAACCAATCTTATATTGTAAATAATTTGTATATTTAAGCTGAAGTTAACTTATTTTGTATAAAATCATTGTACCAAAATGGGCAAAAATTAAGTGAAATATGTCTATTTGGAAATCTTATATGATAAAATATAACTTCATTGAATCTATCATATCAGAACCCATATTCAGTAGGAGAAAATAAAAAATAAACTTCTTGGCAGTAAAATGGGGTTTTCTGGAAGTTTTATGTATACAATAAGATTTCCTTAGTCTTCAAGAGCTAAAGCATGTTGAGAGGACTTTTCTGTTGGGGTTAGGAGAATAAATACTTCTGGAATCATAATTTTACTTACTGGTTTCATATCTGAAATGTTAGGTGCTTTTATTTCCTTATTTTATTATAGTATAAATTACGTAAAGTCAATTTTGTTTTGAATGTTTTTTTCATACTGGTAGGAAATATGACAATATTCATTATTATGTTTTACAGGCAGAAGCTTAACCAGGAATATTCTCAGCAGTTTCTGACTTTGTTTCAGCAGTGGGAGATAGATGTGCAGAAAGCTGAGGAACAAGAAGAAAAACTAGCTGTTAGTATCCTGTTTAGCTTTATAACTAATCTACTTAACCAAGTGTCAAATAGGAATGGAGAGCCTAGCCTTGTAGGAGACTTACAGAATTTGGTCAGGTTCCATTATCCATTGCTGGCTATGTGTTTTGGTCCTGCTGAATGGTAAACCAGAAAAGTATAGGCATATATCATACTCATAAAAGCTAATGGTCTTTGCTTCCTGTATTGGTTGGGATTCTTCCAGTTCCAAGTAACAAACATTTGTCAAAGTAAAAAAGGATTATTTGTTTATATAAAAAAATGTCCAGGGGTAGTTTAGCTTCTGGCATAGATGGATGGGGTGGACAAGGATGGCTCACGTAGCATCATCTTGGCTCTGTCTCTAGTGCTTAGTAGGCTCTCTCAATGTGGTAAGCAAGATAGCGTCTTGCAATCCCAGACTTAAGGACAAGTTTAGTAACCCCAGAGGACTAAGAGAGTCTTCCCTAGTAACTCTGGCAGAAAAGTCCTCTGGAGGAACATCACTGATCAATCTGGATCATTTGCCCATTACTGAACCAGTCATTATGGTCAAAACATGGTTTACTCTTGTGTTACCTGCCTATTTCTATGAGAGATGGAAATCAGCTCCACATATATAACTACATTATCCTTTTATTTCATCCTTTCATTGTTTATAAAATTATTACACATTTCTTATCTAAGAGCTAAGGTGTTATTTATATCAAATAATTTTAAGGATTGATCAGCTCAGTTCTGGAAATGCTAAATTTAAGATGCATATGAAACATACCAAGGGTAAGCCATTGGTATGAGTCAAGTTCCGGAAAGAGATATGGGTTGAACATACAAAGTTGGGAATTCTCAACATAAAGATAGCATTTAAGCCATGAGGTTGGATGAAATCAACAAGGGCGTGATTATAAATGTAAAAGAGAAGTCTAAGAACTGGGCCTGTAGACTTCGATGTTTAGAGTTTAAGACAATGAGAATGAGTGGCCTAATAGAAAGAAAACCACTAAACAAAGTGAAGAAAGCCTTTTAAGGAGAGAACAGGATTAACCATTTCATATGCTGCTTATAGGCCAAATAAGGTAGATTTGGCAATGTGAAGGTCATTGGTGTGGATCAGAATGGTTTTGATCAGTCTTGAACAGTGATTTTGATGGAATAATGGTGCAAAAACCCAACTGGAATGACTATAAAACTGGGGAAAAATGGGGTGGTAGCCTGAGTAGAAAAAGAATAGTGTTGTGGGGTTTTATTGTTTTGTTAATCCTCTCCAGAGGATGTTTTTTCCACTGATTTTTAGAGAGAGTGGAAAGGAGAGAGGGAAGGGAAGAGAGAGGAACACTGATGTGAGAGAGACACATAGATTGGTTGCCCCCCCACATGAGCCCGGACCACTGCTGGGGATCGAACCTGCAACTGAGGTACATGCCCTTGACTGGGAATTGAACCCTCAATCCTTTGGTACACAGGCCAACACTCTAACCACTGAGTTACACTAGCCAGGGCGTGGTTTTTTTTTAAAAGAATGATGAAAGAGCAACATGTTTGTGTGCTGATAGAAATAATCTTCCGGAAAAAATAAAAAACAATGGGAAGAGGGCAGACAGTTGGTAAATTCTTGAGAATGGGTAGTACATGTGAAGAAGTTAGCCTTAGTAGGAATAGCTCATCCTTAAAAACAGGAGAGAAGGTAGAGTATATGAGCACTAAGAAATGAAGGTGGGTGGGTAGAGACGGTGATGGGAGACTGAAAGTTCTCTTTGGATTGCTTCTATTTCTTTAGTGAAATAATTAAGGTCATCAGAGGGTGGAAAATATGCTGCCTTTTGAGGTCAGATGAGGAGGTTTAAAATATTTTCCTGAGAGTGGGCCAGTGAAAAGACTAAGGATACCTAACTGCCAAGCTGCACTAAGGGTCCAATTTAGGCTAGTTATCATGGTTTAAAGTGAGACCTGTTAGTATAACTGTGGGGTTTTCTCCAACTATGACCATCTGCAGGAATGTAGGCAGAGTGGCTAGAGTTGTGTTTTCCAGGGTTGGGGTTTAGCCAAATAAGTGTGACAGAGTGAGAAGGGAGCAGGGTATAGATGCAAAGGAGTAATTATTATGATTGACCATAGAATTTACACTGGGAAAGAGGACATTGGAGTAGGGGACAGTGAAAAGTAGGTAGGGTGAACAGATTCTAGGTTTTGATAGATTATTGTAATACTAAATCTGTAATACTAAAGAGAGTGAGCTAGAACAGTAAAGAGGAAGTGGTTGAATAGTGGGATATATGGAGAAACACTATGAGTAATGGTTAGAGCCTGGATTCTAGAAACATACTGTTTACAATCACATTCTGGTTTGACCAAATGCTAGCTGTGAACTATGGAGAAATTATTTTTCTTTTCCCCAATTTCCTCATTTATGAAAGGGATAACAAGAATACCTACCTCATAGAGTTGCTTCGAGGATTAAATTTCATATATGGTAAGTTTATTTAAAAGAGTTCAGAGTAGTATGCTGTTATTCCTACTCCACAGAGGTAGAGTTACTGGTAATGACAAAATCTAGGGTGTGAGTATGCAAGAGAATGGCTAACGTAGGGTGGAGGGCAAAATCACTGGTAGAGAGTAGGCCAAAGAACTGAAAGACCACATTACTGAAAGGACCATCTGTGTTGATATTGAAAGCACCAACAATTAAGACATTCTGAGTATTGTTAAGATTTCCTAGTCCTAGTTGATTTTGTTCAGTAGTTAGAGCGTTGGCCCATGGACTGAAGGGTCCCGGATTTGATTCTGGCCAAGGGCTCAATCCCCAGTACGCGGGAGGGGCATGTGCTGGAGGCAACCAATCAATTTGTCTCTCTTACATTGATGTTTTTCTGTCTCTCTGCCTTCCACTCTCTCTGAAAAGCAATGGAAAAACTATCCTTGGGTGAGAATTGGGAAAAAAAAAAAGATTTCCTAGTCGGTGTAGGATTATTATATTGTATATTTATGGTGAACACAGATTATCTAAATTTTGTTATAATAGTAAAAAAATTTTTGGAGTATTGATTTTAAAACTATTCTCTTTAGGCTTATTTTTTTGCTAAATTTTACTCAAATTGTTATCACATAATTTTTTCTTTTACATTTGTAGAATTTGTTTCGACAGCAACAAAAGGTTTTTCAACAATCTAGAGTTGTTCAGAGCCAGAGACTGAAAACAATTAAACAGTTATATGAGCAGTTCATAAAGGTCTGTTGTATTTGGTAACAGTATATTCTTAGAAAAGAATTTATGTTGGAAGTAGAAGATAAATTTTTCCCAAGTTAAAGGAAAAACATTTTGCTTATGCATTTAAAATTCTTAACTAATTTTCATTTTGAATTGTTTTTGATTTAAGTACTAAGTGTATTCTGCTTTCAGATTCTAATGTTTTTGTGGAAATTATTCAAAATAGAAAATGGTAAATTGGGAATTTTACCAAAAAATGTACATATTATGCATAAGATTCGTACATAATATTAGCACTAGTGATAGTTCTCAGTTCAACTGAAAATAGAAAGTTCATAAATCATTCTAGGTAAACTTCCAGTCTTTTTTTGAATATGTTTGATATTGGAACCTTAACAGTTCATTAATCCATTGTTTCAAGCAAAGCACACTACTGTTGTACCTCCTATACTACTCTTTGATTCATGTCTGACACTTTTTAATCCTTTAGTGGGTATTCAGATTTTGATGTATTACTTAGAATATTTTTATTCACAATAAATAATGTACACTATTTGAATTTTTTAAAGTTCCTACTTTTGAAAATTAATTGTACAAGTTTAGAACCTGAGATGAAAAGTGGTGGTTTGTAACTGAACTAGCCTTTTGTGTTTTAGAGTATGGAGGACTTGGAGAAGAATCATGATACTCTACTTACTGGTGCACAAAATGAACTTAAAAAAGAAATGGCTATGTTGCAAAAACAAATTATGATGGACACTGTAAGTTATACTAAAACTGGAAAAATAAGGATTAATATAAGCACTGAAATATTTTATTTGTTGAAATATGTATTACACTTATCTAATGTTAAGTATCTTCTTTCATGAACAGCAGCAGCAGGAGATGGCAAATGTTCGAAAGTCTCTTCAATCCATGTTATTCTGATGACTCTTTGAAGGAAGAACTTGAACCTAAGTAATATGATACAATTATAACATTAGCTAAGAGGAATATAAGTCTTTAGAATGGTTTAAAAATTCTAGGTTACAATATTACACCATGTTAATCATTAACTTAAGCACAAGCCTCCTCTTTCTGTTAACCTCCAAATAAAATTTAAACAGTTTTGTGAGTAGCAGCAATTCCTAAATTGTATGTACCAAGTTTTCTGCCTTTTAATAGTAATAGTGAATTTTTCTAACACTTGTTAATTAACTTAGCAATAAAGATTATTTAACTTCACATTTTGGCTTTAGTGCATCTGTATCAGTCCCAAAAAGTAGAAAGCACAAGTATAGGAGGTTACATTGTTCTTTAAGAAAAAAATATAAAATATATTTTTATATGTACATCTTTTTGTATGTAGTCATTAAGTTACACAGCCAATTCTGATAAGATTTCAAAAGAAAATCTACTGACTTATAAAATTTATTAAAAGCAACTTAAATTTGTGTTGTGGAATAAAACTGCTAAAAACCATTAAGATAATTGAACAAAATATAATAAATCCATTTTAAAATATGGACTTGTGAATGTCATTTCCACAAAGACATCAAAATGCCATTTAATTGGGCTTGGTCCAAAATTCGGTACCATAAGCATTGGCACATGCTTATGGTACTGATTAGAAGTATATCATTAACATACCTAATTACAAATGCTTTAAGTACTTAAATTTGTCTTCAAGGATAAATTACCTAATTTTTTTTTCAGTTTCAATATTCAGTAAATGTATGGAAGCTTGATTTACATTCATTTCCAAACTTGAACAGTTCTTATACCTTGTCTTTTAAAATGTGCATTTTAAAAACAAAATAATATATGAAACGCTTGATTTAATAGAGACAAATTGTTTCAGCATCTGTTTTAAATAAGTCAGTTAAACTTACTATTTTTTGCTCTAATTCCTTTCATTGAATCATTCAAAACAAAAAAATATGTCCCCTTCCCTCCAAAATATGCCCACTATGAGGAGTGATTTTTCTCCTGTTTTTCCACATTTTAAATTCGACAACTCCCCTCCTCCCCATAACTCACTTTTATCTTAGTTTTAAGGTTTTCGAAAACAAATCCATAGTGATTCTCTTTTCTAACTATGATAATTTATATAGGAAGAATTTAGTCCACTATTAACAAATACCTGACATTAGGGGGACAATTTACTTCCTAAATTTTTGCATTTTGTAGAGGAGTTCCCTTTTAAGCCAAAGTATATGTTGAAATATAAATCTTAGGTACTATTCAAATGTCTAAGAAGGTCCTTATTTGAGTTTACCAATTGATAGAGAGACAAAATAAGTACCCTGGAGTGTTTTCTGTGTCCTTAATTCACATAAGTATATATTTTTTCCTTTTAAGGAATACCAACTTTTACTTTTTTCATTGTCTTTTTCTTGCTTAACATATAGTACATGTTCATTACTCCATTTTTTAATTTCATCATATGGCTTATGGTCTAGAACTGTGAGATAAAATTAAAAATAGGGGAAGAGGGGAATCTGAGGATTTGGATCACCAAAGAGCTTTGTGATAATTCTCGTATTCATAATGAACACTATAAATACTTTTAAGTGAGAGTAGAAAGATAAGAATCAGTACATAATGTACTTAGTCTTTGAATAACTGATACTTATTTTATCCCCTTTTTACCTCAAATGAAATGTGTAGTTGTAGTAACTTCAGATGACATTCTAAAGGGAAGATATTTTTGCCGTGTTTTCATAAATTACTAATTTTCATATGTCAACAGTGCTTTAAGTACTATTTTATTTTTCATAAAAGGGGATGTTTAATGTCCACATTTTTGTGACAATTTCAGAATATCTAGAAACAAGTTACCCTCACTGTAAAGATTCATTTGTTTTCCTGAACTAGTAAGACAAACTGCTTTTACTTAATACAAATTATAGAAAATTCCAGTAGCACTTTTAGATTCCAGTTGGTATACTAAAGGAAGTATTTCATTTTATACGATAGCAATTAACATGCCTCTTTTGAAAATGTCTAATAAAAAATAATACATCATTCGACAATCCATGCACTTATGCAGCACTATGAACTCGTCAATTTTTAGCAATCAAAGTAAGCATCCTCAACACAGCTAAAATTCTTTAAAAAAAAGTCCTGAATTTTTATGTAATCATTTGCAATGAAAATCCTGAGTGTCTGTAAGAATTTCTAAGACAAAGAGACTGCTATTTAAACTACAGTAGTTCACTTTCTTGTCCCCAGAAAATGGAAATTTCAAAATAAAATTGGTTTTATTTCTAACTTATAGATTATATTACTCTGGTAATATCTGTGGTCAAAAATGTTGATACACAATGAGGACTTCACAACTGAAATAGACATAATGGAATCTATAGGACTTAATGTTTTATATTCAAATATAACCTTATTTGATAGTATACTAGCCTCCTGCAAAAGGGGATTTCCTTCACTCCTAGGTTCCCCTAACTGCTTCTCCTTTTTTCCTTGGGCTATTAGTCAATATGCTTGTGAACCTGTTCAGGTGCTTGATGACATGAAATCTTGAAGATATTTAGATGAAGGTGTCTTGAAATTTGCAGGCACAAAGCACTAAAGTACATAATCATATCAAATGAAGAAATGACCTTTAGAAGCAAAAAAGAAAATATAAATGGATTATAGTCTATCTTTTCTGAAGCAGCAGTTATTTTTCTGCCTGCCCCCCTCCCCAATCTCAAATCTTCACCGAAAATATTACATTTTAGAGTACTTTAATATATTTCATATTTGGACCTCATATAGTCCTCTGGAACATGCAAGGTATTTCACAATTATAGAATCTGAAACACAGTGTTAAAAGCCTAGACTAAAATACAAAAGCTGGAAAGTAACAGAATGTAAGTCTTGACTACACATTCTTTCAATTATCTGCTATGCAACTAAGCCACAAATTTCTACCAGAAGGTGCTATCAGTCATAATAAAACCATTCTATCATATACATTTCTTATTTGAGATTAGTTGTAAGAAAGGAAAGGCCTATGAAAGTGAGGTGGATGTCCCTTGTATGGATCCCTCAAATGTAAGTTCTGCAGGACCAAAGGGGACAAAAAGGCCTGGAAAAGAGCATAGTTGAGGGGAGGCATATATATAAAACTGTACTGTATAAAAAACTGAGGAAAGCACACTATTTAAAAACTTTCAGAGACCCAGGGCAAATGCTTCCTTTCAGAAAAAGGAGCCTCACAGCTCTGTTGGTGGAGGGAATTCTTACCCATGAGGGGAAAATCTCCCTATCATTCACTTGAAAAGCTCCATGTGACCCTTTTCTCTCTGAAGCAAGAACCTTTCCCCTAAGGATGCCAAAGGGAACAAGTGTTTTGTTTGGTTCACATCAAACAAAACACTTTTAAAAGAAAAACTGAATTTGACTTCCTTACCATAATCACCATCAGTGTAACCAGGCCAACTCACTCATTACAAAATAGGTACTTGAGTTTTTAACACCTGATATTTTAATTATGTTAAACAATTCCATTTGGTATTTAAGTTCACTATAGGAAACCCTACATTGAGTTTTCAGATATTTTGAATAATCACCTCGTTTCTTAAATTTGTACTGTTTTAGAGCTCTAAAAGTATTTAAAGTAGACAGCAAATTAAAGGAAATTAGAAGTATGATTTGCAAACACTTTTTAGAATACTGCCTGAAAATTTTCAGGGATCTTACCACCATTTGAAGAATGGAAAACTTTTGAACATACCATGAATGGATACCATTAATTTATTCCAGAACCCAGTACAAAAGATGATCAGAGATGTACCCCAGCGGTACCCCGCACAGAATAGATAAGAGTTTTTCTACTTCATAAGTCTAACAAATAGGGTGAGTTTATTCAAACTATCAAAAGATTCACTGCAGGGTTTCTTTCAGCACACTTCAATATGTGTTTATATATCACTAAAAATTTGGTGAAGGCAAGTGAAGTCCAGAGGCAGGGGAAAATATAGCAGAATTGTTTGAAACCACCATAAAGATGTCTCAATAAAATAAAAAAATGAGTAATTCTTCTTTTATCCACTTTTGTGATTAAGGTGTTACCAACAATGATTTTCTTTCCCTTGATGGCTAAAGCTTCTCTCTTAAGTACCATAATTCTATATAATCATTTTGAATAATATTTTGAACATATGTATTATCCATATCACTTTCTTAAGCAGGATGTAATCAATGAGAATACCACCTTTGCTTGATGAGAGTCATCATCATGAATATAAATTATGCACTATCCTTGAGGGCCACACCGATATATAGGGTTGCTTGCTGCTTCTACCAGAAAACGGCCCCAGAATCCCATACTTGGTAATACTGTCTAGTTCTGTTTCATTTCCTCAACATTAGCTCACAGTTCTTGATGCACTAAGCACTCACCTTTGCTAACACTAACTCCATCTAATCTACCTGTTACCTGCTATAAGTTTGGAATAATTCTAACAAGCTTGATTAAGTAAAAGTCAGACACTAATAAGTGTTGTAGTCCTTTGGCAGAGTGAAGTGATTTTTGACATCTTTGTACTATTTTGGGGGAGGAGAAAGGTGTAGTTATTTTTAGGTACACAGCTGTATTTTTAAAGATTTGGGCTGTTGGAAGCAAGACCTCCAGATATGTAGGCCATTTCTATACTCAGTGAAAAAACAATTCACAGCTTAAGAGAAGTAATTTTACAGAAACATTTATGGTATAGACTAATAGTGAGACTACCTGATATTTCACTGAACTGACTCTTAGGCAGTGTTATCTGACATCTGTTAAAAATAAAATCTTAGCAGAAAAGAACTTACCATTGCTATCCACAGAACAACATATTCATCTACAAAATTATTAAAGTACTGGTCTAAAAATAAAAGACCGGGGCCGAAAAAGGCAGTGTCTTGAAGATACAGTTCACTTTTAGTCATGTGAGCTATCTATAAAAAAGTAAACAAAATAATTTCACTATTAAATTTTAAACATTTTAGCTTTTACTTTCAGAACTGATTATAACTTTAATTCATTAAGAATTAAATAAGGATAGAGAGACCATTTAATTTCACATTTTATGTGGAAATACTGAATCTAAAACTTCTCAAATTCATGACTGATTGGGCAGCTTATTCCAGTTTCCAATATTTAAATTTCTTGATGTCAGAAAGTTATAATTGATAATTATAGCTAAACAAATAAATTAAATGGACTTACCATACAGTAAAGAGTCTGTCTCCCTGAATATAACATTAACTCATTCACAAATAGGTAACTAAATACTGTGATAACACCACACAACAACCCCCCACCCACTGTATGAAATCGTTTCCAGCTCTGTGTTTGAGGAATCATAAAATAATTTCTTACCACCAATTTGTGTGAGACTTTAGCAAAGACACATCCAAACATTAGGGTATAAAGACAGGGATGCTTTTCAAACACATTAGTTGCTGACTTTTTATAGATCATTATTGCAGGTATAATAATTATTCCTATGTGGAGTCCAGGTGACAGGACACTGGTGCCCTAATGGAGAAAGCAGAAATCGGTGTCACATTTTAACGTTGTATGTATTACCTGGCATTTTCTGAACATCTATCTTGTTTCAGGAACTAGAGACCTAAAAAACAGTATGATGTATTGTATGGCCTAAAGGAGTAGAAAGGCCTCAGCGGTGCCTTTCGAACTTTCACAGAACTCCAGGGTTGCAAGGATTCAGTGCTATAGATGTTTGATTCCAATTTTACGTACATATAGATTTTAATTTAACCACTAAAAAATAACAATATAATTTATTCTATACCAACTTTTACTTTATGCTAAAGGCCATTAACACCTGGACTGCCAAGTTAACATATTTTTGTCCAGCTATATCTGCCTTGGTCTCTCTCAGTACCAACACTGTCCCCCCTTTTTTCGTATTTAGACTGCAAATGCACTCTGATGTAACATTATAAAATCCAACCCGTTACATTTTTATCTATGTGAATCAAGATTCTTTCAGCACTGCTTATCCTAAACAAAATACTGAAATAAATTTGGTATTGAGACTTACTAAGTCTATAACCACCAATTTAAATGTGTTCATTAAAAGAGGCTTATTCTTGTTTAAATTTACATGTTATAAATTATAACTTACTATAAAATTACAGTAATAATACTATAAAAATCATAAATATTAAATCATACTAAGTTTAGACTAATAGTGCTTTTATCTGTATTACGGCTCTGTATATTTTTTTTTCAAGAAAATCTGCTGCTAAAAAAGTTGGAAAACCACCAGTTTAAGAGTTCTAAATCAACTTCTTTTAGCCATAATATTTGATTTCTTGTCTTCCTTCAAACAATTCACCCATTATTTCTTAGTAAAATATTCTCTAAAGTGGACACTGAGCCTTACTAAGTCATATTTTCTTTAGTGGGACTCGTGTTCCAGGTGGTTCTGTATTTTATCACCTGTGGTCAAGCAACTAGTCTTCCTAAGCACCTTGTGCGCAGAGCTGTACTGAGGTCAACAGACAAAACACCTCAGAAACCAACAAATTAATTTTTCCAAATATATCAGAACTCCTATATCTAAACGAGTTTTATACTTTGCTTTTGAATTACATATATAAAATGTATTCATAAAGATTGATAATTTATGAATTTTGTGGATTCCTTTGAAATTGTCTTGAGAGCCAATTTATAAGTCATTTAAGAGGATGAGAATTTTTTTAACTAAACATGCTGTATTTCATGTTTATTACTCCTCTTACTTATTAGACCTAGCTCCAAGTGACTTTTTTCAAAATAAAATCCCCCTTTAAAGGGCAGAAAACTTGAACTATAGCACCAAAGAAATGAAAGAGAATGAGCCAAACCTAAAGCAATTCTAAAAAGACAGTCCAGAAACATTCCGATAAGAGATGGCATCACTGGAATGAGTATTTATATCCTTATGTTCAACTACCTTGAAGATGACAGTACATTTTTTTGTTTTTTGGGTTTTTTTAAAAATATATCTTTATTGATTTCAGAGAGAAGAAAGGAGAGGGAGAGAGGGAAATAGAAACATCAATGATGAGAGAGTCATTGATCGAGCCCACAACCCGGGCATGTGCCCTGACCGGGAATCGAACCCCGATCACCTGGATCCTAGGTCGACGCTCAACCGCTGAGCCACGCCCCGCCGGGCAACAGTATGTTTTTTAAAAGACATAGATATTGTGTTATATTAGTTTAAAAATTTGGCAGGAAATTCTGACTCCCACATAAAGTGTTAAAGAAGTTCTAAAAAACAAATATGAATAAATACAAAAGTATTCCAGCATGAGCAAAGTGTAAAGAACACAAAGCACAAGGTCTATGACCTCAATTTAAGAATTAAGGTTAGCCCGGCTGGGCGTGGCTCAGCGGTTGAGCATTGACCTAGGATCCAGGAGATCGGGGTTCGATTCCCAGTCAGGGCACATGCCCGGGTTGCGGGCTAGGCAGCCGATCGATGTCTCTCTCAGCATTGATGTTTCTATCTCTCTCTTCGCCCTCCTTTCCTCTCTCTGAAATCAATAAAGATATGTTAAAAACAAACAAACAAAAAACTACTTTAAGAATTAAGGTTAAAGCCCGGTGGGGCGTGGCTCAGTGGTTAAGCATTGACCTAGGATCCAGGCGATCAGGGTTCGATTCCCGGTCGGGGCACATGCCCGGGTTGCGGGCTGCAGCCAATCAGTGACTCTCTCATCATTGATGTTTCTATCTCTCTCTCTCTCCCTCTCCTTTCCTCTCTGTGAAATCAATAAAGATATATTTTAAAAAAAAGAATTGTTAAAAAATTTTACCTTTTAAAATAAAATAGTATTAAAAAATATATTTTAATAAAATTTATTTTTCTAGTAATAAATACCCCATATGTGAAACCGTGACCCCTGGCAGCTTTCTAGCCATTCGATCAGGAACTCATTCTGCACCTTCTCTCCTCTCCATATTAGTGTAAGGCACAAAATACAAGAAATTTCACAAATGGCAACTCTTAATTATGTACAGTAATGGAACAGTGGGTGAGTAAATGAAATGCCAGAAAAGTCTGTTTAGAAAGGTTGTGGACAGAGGAAAGATGCTTTATTATCAGTCTAAACTGTTTTTGAAATGCTTTTGTATTATGTACCTAAAAAGAATCCTTTAAGATATGTAGTTCCCTTCCCCATTCTTGAACCTCAGCATATTTTTAGTATCTCTGTAGCTGGTGATAAGTAAATTTAGCATAAAATTAAAACTAAATGATGAAATTAATGTCTTACTGCTATAGTGGATCCGTTCTTGCCAACTCCACCATGGAGGATGACATGGAAATAATTTGAACAGGAATATATTGCTCCACCTACAACTCCAAGAACTGGGAAGATCTTCAATTTTACTTCTAGAATGGGTATCTTCAGGGGTAGAGGAAAGAAACATCATTAAGAAAACACAATGTTTTTTCTATTAAAAAGCAAAGAAACATTATGATATGGTCCTGTACAGTAAGTTATTGTTTTTCTCATAATCAAACCCTAACTTCCAGAATGTAGCCTGAAGTGGTAACTTTTCTTTCAGTGGTTTTATTCATTAAGTGAAAAGGGAATCCACCAAAGTCAGCTCAGTCTACTTAGATAATTGTGATGAGATTCAATCTCACAAACCTTCATCTGACCCAAAGGAATGAAAAAGGATAAGTCACTTGGACATAGTCCTTCTAGAAGGCAGCATCCCACGAAAGTGGGACACCGTGATCTGCATCATGAATGTGACAATCATGGTGTGTGTGCATGCAAAAATTTTGTGTAGTTAATATCCAGGATTAAATCTCTAGCAGTATATTTACCTGTTGGTCAACTGCTGTTCAAGAAAACTTCCAAAGGCAGCAAAGGATTTAAAAAACAGTAACAATAAATTGCCAAAAGCTGTAGGCTACTGTGTTTTGAAAATAAGACTTTGAAATACTGTACCAAAATTTGTGTAAACTACAGATTAACGACTAAATTTAGAAAATCTACATCTAAAGTATTCGCATTGGTGAAAACAAGCAGATGTGCTTGCTTCCTATGGTATTGTCAAAACATTGAATGAAATGGTTTGAAGATGAAGTTAAATTCTCCCCCATTAAAACTAAATCAGGCCCTGGCCGGTTTGGCTCAGTGGCTAGAGCGCAGGCCTGCAGATTGAAGGGTCCCAGGTTCGATTTCGGCCGGGAGTGCGCGCCTGGGCTGCAGGCTCGATCCCTGGCCCCGGGCGGGAGGCAGCCAAGCGATGTCTCTCTCACATTGGTGTCCCTCTCTCTAACTCTCTCTCTCCCTTCCACTCTCTCTGAAAAGCAATGGAAGAAATATCCTCAGGTGAGGATTAAAAAACAAAACACTAAATCAGAATTCCAAATTTAAGACAACCGCATCTGACTTAACGACCAGAGATGCCTGCCTCTAGGTCCGCGTTCACTGCTTACGGGTACTAGTAGAGCAGCCACCACCTAGGGCACACCGCATCCCTCTAGGATACTCCAGAGGCCTAGAGTAGCATATACCTGATTCTGTTATTTATTCTTACATGGTAAGAAGGAACATGAGTGTCTCAGGGAATGTAGCTCTACTTGAAAATAAAATATGCTCAAAGTCTACTTCTGAGCCTAGGGAAATGAACTGTGCTTGGCAATTCTGAAACTAAATGCCACAGGAAAATGTCCTGTTACTATTTTTAATAGAATTACTTTTCAGAGCAATTTTAGGTTCACAGAAAGTTGTACAGAAAGTACACAGAGTCCCCAAAGGCCCCTCTCCCCCCTCCAATCCCCCTTATTATCAACATCCCCACTAGAGTGGTGCATTTGTCACAGTCAAGGGACCTCCACTGACACATTGTTATCACTCAAAGCCCAGTTTACATCAGGGCTCACTCTTGGTGGTGGACATTCTACGCGTTTGGACAAATGCGTGACATGTGTCCAGCATCACACTATCACACAGAAGAGTTTTACTGCCCTAAAAATCCTCTGCGCTTTGCCTATTTATCCCTCCTTCCCCCAACCTCTCACAACCACTAACCTTTTCACTATTTCTGTCCTTCTGCCTTTTCATGAATGTCATAGTTGGAATCATATAGTATGTAGCCTTTTCAGACTGGCTTCTTCCACTAAGTAATATCCATTTAAGGTTCCTCCATGTCTTTTCAGAGCTTGATAGCTCTTTCTTTTCAACACTGACTAATATTCCATAGTGTATCCATTCACCTACTGAAGGACATCTTGGCTGCTTCCAAATGTTGGCAATTATGAATAAAGCTGCTATAAACAGCTTATGGATATAAATTTTCAACTTATTTAAATACATACTAAGAGATCTTGTGGTAAGTATGCTCAGTTTTGTATCTCATGCTATTTTCACTGAACGTATAATATAGCTTCGTGACTAAAAACATAGAGTCTGGAACCAGTCTACTTAATTCCTAGCTCCAGTACTCACTAGCTATGTGTTCTTGGGCAAATTACGTGATCATTCTAAAACTTATTTATAAAACAGATTAATCTCTATTTTACAGGATTGGTCTGAGGATCAGGTGAAACAATGATAGCAGAATGTTTAGGAACATAGTAAGTGTTGAATAAATGCTGGCTGTTGGCTGCTGGTATCACCTTTCTTTTTCTTCTTAATGCTGTGGGAATGAGGCGGTGAATCCGCCAGTGTTGCGGACTTGGGGTGTGGAGACAGAATAGTTCGTCTTTCCAGTTTCTTCCTATGCAAAGCACGCATTTATGACAGCGGCTTCCTGAGTCAGCTTCGGTCAACATACTGAGGTTACCGACCAAGCAGAAAACAAAAAACACTCCTTCATATGGGAAATTTCACCTCATAATAGATTATAAAAAATGCAAATTAGCAGCATTCCTTTCCTAATATTGAGGAACACATTTCAAATGTAAAATATTTTCTTGAATTTACTTTTCTAAACATCTATTCTATGAGATGAATTTTGGCCTGGAAAAGGTCATTCAACTAGTGTTTGATTTTGTATTAGGGAAACGGGTTGTTTTCTGCCATGTGGTAGTATATTCGTGCACAGGGAAAAATGTTCTAAGGTACGCAGGAGAACAAAATTATAAAACAAAGGGAGAAGGTTAAGAAACGGAGTGAATATTAAATGCAATGCCAAGGATTTCTGAAGAAAATTAATGATGCACTATTTTTCCTAAATATTTAAAAAGTACTTTATAAATTTATTTATTTAATTTATTTTTTTAAAAGTACTTTATAAATTTAAACATTCAGTTTTACCGTATAGTCCCACATTGCTGCTCCTCCAAATGTAGACAACACAAAGACGGCCATTAAACCCACTTGAATTTCATTTACATCCACTCTAGGGGGAGAACAAAGAATAGAAAAGATGTTTGTGGATAAAATTCCTGAATGTAAAGGCTAGTTAGCCATATATTAAATATCAAAGATGTAAAAATCTCTGCAGGCTTAGTTTATTTTTGCCTTTAGTTCCATCACTGAATTATCAGCTGACTACACTTAACAAGTTAAAAAACCTGTAGAACAACATGTGCTCCCATAAAGGCAGGCATTAGTGCATGGGCAGGGAGAAAACCTTGTATAGCATATGTAAAATTGCTAACAGCAATTGCCACTGAGATTGCAGAAGGCTTTTTACTTTCTACGTTAAGTACTTCTGTAAAGTTTAAATTATAACAATCATGCATTACTCTCATAATCAGAAAAAAATTATAAAATATAAAAACAACCAGATAATTTAAGACAAATTCTTAAACCCTCTCAAGTCAATTTAACATAAGAAGCAGGGAAAATTTCAACAGTTTTTCCTATTAAGTTACTAACAAACAGTCCCTATAGTTTTTTTGTTTGTTTGTTTGAACAGATATTTTCCTCCTAACATATAAACATGCTTAAATTTCTTTCAAAAAACCCACGAAACCCGCCACTACAAGTCTCTCATTGGCATCCCCTGAAGCTATGGGCTCCTCTCTTCTTCGCTCCGTAAACAGGCTAACTGAAAGGTCGTCTACATTTCTAATTTCCTCCTGTCTTCCTATCTGCTGCTTACTCCACTCTAATCTGATTTCCGGCCCCATTCTACTAAAATTATTTAAGGTCAACAGTGACTTTCGATTTGCTGAAGCTAAAGGATACGTTTCAGTGATTATCTTGCATAAAACTTCTCTACATTACTTAAATGCTCTGCTATGGTTTTATTTCTCCCATTCTCTTTCCTGATTCTCCTAACTTGCTTGAAGCTGTTCTCAGGCTCCTTCCTAGACCGCTGCTTCCTCCACATCTTAAGCGCCGCTGCTTCCAGAATTCCCTCTCTTCTCCTTTTAGACTCTGAACAATTCTGTCTATGCTTAAGACTACCACCTATATGCTAGTGACCTATGAATCCACATCTTCTCTGAGCTCCATATTTTTGTATCTGTACTGACTTTACATCTCCCCCTGGATGCCCGGGAGTCTTTAGATGCTAGAGGAATACTAATTGCTCTGCACATATAAGGGGATGCAGGGATTAGATGATAAAATAAAATCAGATACGGAAGAAAACACTTCCCACCTGAGCTATTGGCGGGGTGGGTGTGGGCAGTTAGGAGGAACGCAACATTAACCCACAAATAAAAGGAAAACATGAACAATGGCATCCACTATTAGTAAGATCAGTGGCCTCCAGGCTGCATGGAGACAGAGCCACGTTAGCTGGAAAAGGAAAACATAATAACACAATATAGGGTGCTTTGTGGAGAGAAGGGGGAAAGGTACTAACTTTACTGAGCATCTATCATGAGTCCTGTTTCATGTTATTCAGGTCCCTTATTTCTCTTTCTCCTGTCTAATATAAGTTCGGGCTAGTGAGTTGGAGAAGGGGGTGAAAAAAATAAAGTTATTATCAAATATGTAACTATGTGTAACCTGCAGAATACCTCAAAGATTTAAATTCAGGTATAACACTTATGGATGCTCCAATAAATTAAAATATAATTTAAGTTCCTGACTGAAGCTTTGTTCTCATTATTATACATAAGTGACCTATAGAACAGATTGTGAAAATAGATTCGGTTACATTTTTAAATGTACAACTCAAAATATATACTTACTTTCCAAACCTCAACACCCCGGAAACGTAAGTCTGCCAATGAGCACAGTAAAATAAGAACATGCCAATAAAAGAGCAGAAAAACAACCAGTCTGGATGAGTTCCTAGACGCACAGCAATTGAAGCTCCGATGGCCATCAATACTGAAAGAAACAGGTTTAAGAACCATTAAGAATTAGAAATAATTAATGAAAAAAATTGCCATGTACTATTCAGCATTGCAGAGTTTTAAGGTACATAATCTTGGCATTAAAATAAGGTACCCTTGCCCGGCCGGCGTGGCTCAGCGGTTGAGCACCGACCTAGGATCCAGATCGCAGCTCGATTCCCGGTCAGGGCACAGGCCCGGGTTGCGGGCTCAATCCCCAGTCGGGGGCGGGCAGGAGGCAGCCGATCAATGACTCTCTCATCATTGATGTTTCTATCTCTCTCTCTCCCTTCCTCTCCCTGAAATCAATAAAGACATTTAAAATAATAATAATAATAGTGAGGTACACTAAACAAAATAAATTATTGAAGATGCTTTTAAAATGAACTGTGCAAAATTGCTCCCATATGTACACCTATCTAAAGAAATTAACCATTCAGTAGCTCCTTTCATTTAGTGTTTGTTATTATTTTAAAAAAACAAACACATCTACAGTTAACTTACCTGTGGAAAGAGAGTCACAACCATGGTCAAAAAGTTCCCCTAAAGGAGAGCAAGAGTTTGTCCTTCGGGCCTGTTTCCCATCGACGGCATCCAGTGACTGGTAGGCAAAGAGTCCAAGGGCACACAACAGGTACGTCCAGTATGGTGCCTAAAAATGAGTGTAAGTGAGAAAGGCTTGTTCCAAGAAATAACAACGAGTGACAGTAAGGTAGCTTGTTTGAAAAAGGCTCAATCGAAGCCAATCGACGCATTTTCTTGTGTCCACAGTTTATATCACCTCAGTGTGTTATAAAGAAGATTCCTAATCTTCCTTCTACAAATGTAAATTAAACTGAGAAATCAAATGAACTGCTCTAAGTCATCTGGGTAGAGGGGCTCAGAAGTCGATATTGTGAGGAGCACAAAGTTAAATGGCTGAGCAAGGGTTAGGACCTGATTTTGATTCTTAGTCCAATGCTATTCATATATGGCACTGGATTTGACATTATTAAGTCAGTCTTCGCTCTAAGAAACAAAGACAGGTTACAGACCCTGCTTCATCCACGATGGAGTATCAGGGGACTAGATTTCCTCTCCCACCTTATAAAACTAGAAAAGCAATAAAATAAATGGAACAGCGGTCTTCAGACATTGCAGGAAATACAGGACGTGACCCCCGCAGAAGGGAAACAAACGAGGTGAACCTATGACTGCTCCAGCTCATTGCCTAGAGGCAGTTTCTAGACCACAGTACAGAAATGGGGAACCTGGACAGTGCCCTGTGATCTTGCTGTGTTGAGGAGAAACAGAGCATATAGTTCAGGAAGGTCGGGGCAGCTTGAATTTGTGGGGCACAGCATGGGAGAAGAGGGGGTGCTTAGGTGATTACATATAAGGGGCTTAGAAAAGTACCTGGCATACAGAAGTGAGGCAAGATAGTAAGAAGTTAGGAAAATTCCTTGGCAAGTGGAACGGGGAAACCGAGACAGACAGCTGAGCAAACCAGTCGAGCAATTTACAGCAGATACAGAAGGTCATCTCCCTAGAGATAGCAGCCAGTTGTACTTCAGCTCCAGGCCCAGAAAAGCAGCAAAACCAGGTAGGCAAAGCCAGGACCAGCTGCAGTGACCAATGACCCCCTGCCCTGGTGCTGGCCAATCGGCAAAAATCGCTACCCTGAAAGAGCACATCTGGAAAACTGATGAATATTCTGCCAAAACCTCCCCTGAGACCTCCCTCCCCTAAGAGTCCTGCCTGCAAACGAGAATAAAGCCCTCAAAAGAAAGAGTCCAACTCCAGCTCTCCCTCTGTGGAGCATGCCCACGCCTTTCTTCCCTCTCCAGCGAGCATCTCCTAAACTCTAAGGGTCCCCAGGTGACTTGCAACCGGGGGAGCAATGGGCAGCAGCAGCTTGTCCCGGGCTAACCCCCTGAAACTGTATGCAAGGCCCCCTTTTCTCTGGCTTCTCAGTGAGCCAAAGCAGCCCCGCCTGGGCTCTCCTGTTGCTTTTTCTATACTAAGCCCTTCCTTGTTTCACTGTCCGCAGCTTTAATACACACACCCTCATAGTCACCTCGACTCATGCTGTGAAGTCCTTCCTGGAAGTCAAGAACCCACTACCAGCTGGCCCTAGGCAGACCCGCTCAGGGCCAGGTCCCCTATCTGGTAACAGAAGACAATTTTAGGTGCTTCGTGGGTAAACTTTTCATTTTAATATTTATGTCTTTATTTTAGTGTGTTTTGGAAAATTTTAATATGGCTATTAAAAGACTTAGAATGAATCAACATCTTTAAAAAAGAGTAGGTTGAAAGTTGATGAAAGAAAAGTAGTAAATAAGGAACAGTATAGGTAACACACAACAACAGAATCTTCCAAAATTAAAATTTAAGAAATACTAGAACTATACAATGCTCATTTATATGAATTTTTACACTTAATAAAGGCCTCTTGGCTTTAAATAACCTTGGGTATGAGTTGACAGACATGCAAAAGATATTGCATAACCAGTAACTACTGGGTCAGCTGGTAACGGACATTTCAATGATCCAACCGTCAACTGACTACTCTCCATAAAAATAGAAAGTGCACTTATAACGGGTAGGAAGGAAGAAAACTCTTAAGACAGATCTCGCATATGTGAGAGAAAAAAAAGTAATGTTGGTGTTGTGTCAAAAGGAGGACTTTGTACCTAGTGCAGCGATTTTTTAAAGAGAAAATTCAGTTGCTAACAGGCTGCTAACCTGACCCTGGTCGAACCCATATCGTGCCTGCGCCTGTGACAGCGCTAAGTTCCCCTGCGCAGCGTGGGGCGCGTCCTTGTTTACAGAGGGAGGCCCCAGAGGCCCTGGGTGTCCGGGAGGGACCGCCGTTCTCAGGAAGGCCCCGCAGGCTCACTGGTTCCAGAAGGGACCTTTGGCCTCAGCGCTGGTTCGGGGCCAGCGTTTGAGCAGAGCACACCCATTTTCAGGAAATCAGGCAGGGTCCAAGCTGGGGAAGGAAGCCAGCCCAGCAGTGCCGGCTAAGCTGCGTTCAGGGCTCCGGGGGCTCTCTCATGACATTAGAAGCCTGTACTTTGGAAGGTAGGCTGCTTTTTATATTTTGTGTGAATAGTTCTTTTTTTATATCCTTCCTCTAGAAATTACTAGAGCTGCTGTTCAAAATGCCAGGCTCCCATCGTGCTAAGGGAACCGGGAAGGGAGAGGGGCGTGAAGAGGATCCCCCCTCCCCGCCAGACCTACCACCAATGTCAACGGTAGTGGGTGCTCTAACATCTGTTCTGGTTTTTAACCTCACAAACCCCAAGTGGCCAGAGCCTTCCGCCCAGGCCAGATACACAGGGGGTGTGATTTAAAGCTCTTTCCAGACACTACAGTGCCACTTTTTACCCACACGTGAACCAGAATCTAAAGGAGCAGCAGCTCAGTCCTTGGGGATCAAGGACAGGAAAGCCCCAGGGATGGAAGGGGCAGGCCTCACATCAAAGCTGCTTCCACGGTACCTGCAGAAGCTCCTGCGAGGGGCTGGGACCAGGGCGTGGCACCAGTTTATTCTCGGGCGGTGCACCTGCCTGCTTAACTCTGAGGCCTGCGTGCCTGCTTGCCTCCCTCAAGTCCCTGCCCTGCTTCTAGAACTTCCATCTCCTGAAAGCTGGAGTTTATATTTTGCTTTAGAAGAAGAGGCCAATCCCTTAATAAATGATGCTTGATAAGTTATTGAGCTGGTTAAAAAGAGAGAGAGAGCGAGAGAGAGAGAGAGGAAGGTAGGTGATAAAAAAGGAAATACACTAGATTTCAAAGAAACCAAACCTACACAAAAACTGAATAGGAATCTACAGGTTATTGTCTTTTCTTATTATTTCCCCACCAAATAACTCTTTATGGCGCAAAGGCAACTATCACCTGAATTATTAAGATGGAGTAAAACATTTCTTAAGGTCTTTCTGACTTACTCGCTTTTTGGTTCAACTTTCTATCATAAACAAAAGAAATTATTCAGTGCCCTTTGACCCAGTCCTATGCGAGGCACCCGGCTGCTCTAAACATACTCTTAGGAGAGACACTGACATGGATTTATATGCACAGACCGGAAAGATGAAGCAAAAACATTTACTCAAATCAACTTAAACAATGGAGCTAGTTTGCAGCGGTCAAGAACAGGTGTATGAGGGTTTGGTGGCAGATAAACGCTACCAGGCTGGAGCTTGAAGAAGATGCTAAGTCCTTCGAATCACTGAGTTTCCTCATAGGCAGATGTAGGAAGCACATTAAATAAGCCCCAAGGTCCCTCGAACCGCAGGAGTCTGTGACTCTACTTTGGGGCAGGCGGCCCAAGGATGGCGGCCAAGGACAGAGCAGGGTTCAGACAGAAGGGCTTCACCAAAGTGGAGGAGGCAGTTCGTGCTCTCTCTTCACCCCAACTCGTGCTTGTTAAAATTACGGGGGCCAAAGAGCCGGCAGGTATTTAAGACCCGCTAAAACTGGGTAAGGGTGGGCAAGCAGGAGCTCCCGGTTACATTCTGTTGCTGCATTCGTGCGGCCGATAACCCAGCACGTATGTGCGCTAAGCCCCTGCTTTATGCAAGGCGCTGTGCTGTGCAGATGTACAAATGAGCACTCGCTGTCTGAGTTTAAAATCTGGCAGGTTGTCCTGCTCCGTAAAGACACACGTAACCGAAATGCAGAGGTTCTACAGGAGGACTGCAAAGCCCCGCGTGGAATCCTGGTCTCCACTTAAAGCCATGTACCCTGGAAGAGGTTAACTGCCCTTCAGTCTCCTCATCTGTAAAATGGGAGAATAGTACCTTTTCAGAAGTCCTTGAGAGGAATAAATGAGGTAATAGACAAAAGCAGTTTAAAATAATGCCAGGTACACAGTCAACGCCTGGTAAACATCAGTTATTATTGTTATTGGTGTTTAGAGGGTTCAGTGATTGATTTGACTCTGGAGAGGGAAGAAATTGTTTCATCGGGAGGCAGTGTTAGAGCTGTGCTTTAAAAGATGGAAGTGGGACAGGAGAAAGGAAGGGGGAGGAGAAAAGAGAGGGACAGGAAGGAGAGAAATCTCTCCTGTAGAGTAAGTAGTTCCATTTGGCCGGAGTGGAAAGTTCGGGAACAGAAATGGTGGTGTGAAATGCAATTCAGTGCACTGCTGTAGAAACTTAATATCAATCATTTAACTTTTTTCTATTCGTTTCCCTTCATACCCCAGTCATGTCCTAGAAATTAACACGGTAGTTAAGAAACAGAGCAAATTTTATTAATTTAGATATGTAGTCTGCATTACATATATGTATGTAACCCTCTATGGGTAGGATTATATCCTATATGGATAGACAAGCCCAAGCCTCTAAATCCAAAAGCCTTATGTATTTTTGCTGACCCTTTATGGAAGCAACCTGCCAAGTCTGAAAAAGCACAAAGAATTCTTAAAGTCTATGAATCAGAAAAGGGTTCCAAGCCAGGTTAAAGTCACTCAACCCTCTGGGCCTCAATTTCCTCTTAATGAAAATACATAGTACTACTCTTGCTTCAGGATGGACAGAAGGAATACTAATATGGTAGAAAGGCTATTCTAGGAAGGAAAAAACTTGCCAATCTCCTTGGGTTGATATAAGACACAAATGCAACAATGGGTGTGGAAGCACTTTACATACATGATAAATATTGTATAAGACACAAAGGTTTTTTTCCTATACACCATATACAAAAAGGCAGGAACTCCAGACAAGAAGGTGGTAGTATGTAGTATATGTAAAAAATATATAAGCTTCGGTGTCAGACCGACTTAGATCTGAATCCTGCCTGGTCCT